CCACTGAACCACTTACTGGAGCTTTAGATAAACCAGCGGTCTGCATCTTTATTTTTTTTTACCAGTGGATTATTTTTGTAATCTGATTCCCTGCAATTAGTTATCGCGCAATCCTGGGATATCACTAGCTGTGGCTTTAGATAAAGAGACTGTCGGCAGTAAGTACATGAAAATTACCATGCATGCTGGGTGTAACAAAAATTATTGTCAGGGCTGTAATGGGTTATAATTTCAAAAACATGACAGGATTTTATTTTTACATTCATAGTCAAAACAGAGCATTTAAATTATTAGGCTATTGTTGTCTCAATGGGCATATTTTCATTTTTTTATGCTAACAAGGAGTAATGGAAGAAAACAAAAACAGTACCTCACAAGTATGTGCACATTATGTACATCGTGTCCCCTACATTAAACAGAAATTGCAGCAGTCCTAAGATGTATTATGTTGAAAGCTGCAGCAAGATAGGTTAGATAGAACGTGGGCCTGCGTGTTAAAGATAGCATAAGATGCCTGAGGGCGTGTGACAGCAAACCAGAGCTGCTTCGTTTTTCTCTCCTTTTTTCCTGTCTTTCTCAGCACCTCCCAATTGTCCCCTTCTCCCTTTCATTTCTCTCTCCTCACACAGTTTGTGTAGCAACTGTAGCTCTGATGGCGATGCAAGGCGTCAGAGCTGGAAATCTTGCAGAATCTCTACTCTTAATCATTTTCAATCTCTAGTGCCAAGGACACTGTGTGTGCTGAGAGTGTAGAGAGTAAAGCCACTTTCCAAAGAATATAAGCTTTTCACTTGGAGGGAGTTTTTGCGGCTGTGTTCTCTTAACGAATGTAGTGATGATGTTTTGACAGTTCTGCAATTTCCTCTATGAGTTTATACTAAATACTTTAGAGCACTGATTCCCAAAGTTGGGATCCTTGATCAACCACTATTGGGTCTTAAAGGTATAGTGGAGGATTTTCACGAATTTTTGAAAAGACCCGCCCTCTCAACTTAAAAAAAAAGCACATTTAAACACTGTACTCGCCTAATAAATGCGTCTGAGGGGATGCCTAATAAATGCGTGCGAGAGCGTGCATGAGCCCATTTCTCCTCGTGCACACTCTTTTTAAAAGTTGCTGTTTGCATCACTCATACAAGCTTACTTTCCAAAACAAGATTTGCAATTTTTCCACTATGTCAGACTCACCACTGGTAAGTGAAAATGGCAATGAGCACGTAGGACAGCCTTACGTAAACATATCACCAGAATAATTGACAATTAGGAGGACCACTTATTTTGATGATCCTCCTGGAAAAAGAACATCCTCCACTTTACCTTTAAGAATCATTACAAAAATTAAACTAAACATAACATTTTTATGTTAAAGTGCTTAAAGATATGAAAGCATCAGTTAATAGTGGACAAAATCAACTAATTTGGATGTTGATGGAGTTAGCAATACTATTACATCGGTGGTAATTAAATATAATGTAATTCAAAAGTACTTTATTGATCCCAAAGGGAAATTAAATTTAATTGATTTTGAAAACTAGATTGTATCTTTAACCAATAGTCTGGGTCATGAGAAAACTCTGGTAACATTTTGCAGGTCAGAAGCTAAAAAAGTATGGGAACTTTTGCTTTAGCTCTGACGTTCAGGTATGTTTTTCCTAATTTTAGACCATTTGAAATGCTAAAAACACACAAGTTGTCTTTAAGTTTGTGGTACTGGAACCTAGATCCCAGCAAGACAATAAATCATCATACAGTCTATGTTTGAAAAAATCTCAAGCATTCTCACATGATTATTTTTACGCTTATTATTTTTGTCCATTCCAATAAATGTTACAATGTGGCTTCAACTTTAGATGCTGAAAATTAAGTTGCAAATAACCTAGAAAGAGAAGTCATTTTGGGATGGAAAAAATTGGTTAAGTCTTCAAAGAGTTGTGTAAACTTTGATATTATGACTAACAGGAGGTAGACAGGAAACATCATATTTATATCTAAGTAATAATTAATATACTAACCAAGCAATATTAAATTAATTAAAGATATAAAGCAATGGTATCAAAAACATACCATTTTATAGATATTACAGGTGTAACCTTAAGGCATTTGTTTAACTAGGAAAAAAACAACTTGATTCTCTGGCATATTTTTTCTTTTACAATATATAGCAGAACAACATGCTATCTTTTCGTTTTTGTCTATATCCGAAGATTCTCAGTCATCCAGGTCATGGTCAACCTTGAAAAAGTTCAATTTAGGCAATTGGACGTGAAGTTTTCTAGAAAACAAAGAATTTGGGGGAGACAAAATTCTTAGTTAGACCTACAGTATATAAACCTCAGTGATCCCCAACACTAGTTAGAACTGAAGAAGCCTCTTGGATGAGAGGCAAAATGTCTTCTAGAAAACTTCACGTCCAGTTGCCTAGACTGAACCCTTTTTGTACTGTTTATCAATTAAATTAGTTCTCAAATATTTGGAAATGTTTATTTCCTCTTTAACTTAGCCTATGAAGTCACATGTGAGGTACATATTAAGGTATGAGTATTGGGTTTTGGAAAAATGAAGGCGTCTCCTTTCTGTAACAGGTTCTATACCTCAATATGCTCTAGACGTTAAGTATTGCTTAAAAGCAGGATTGATGAACTTCCATTACCTGTTCATATTATTGGAAAAGTCTGACAGAGAGTTGAAACTGAGATAAAGAGATTACTTACACCCAGACGAGATTTGAACAGAGTGACATCATGATCAGGTGTTGGTCATTTCACATTTTACATTTATACTTTTGTAATATAATCTGTGCAAGTGGTTAAGTGGTTTGAGTCTTTCAATCTTATACAGGGGACCTGGGTCAGGAAGGGCATACAATGTAAAAACTTTGCCAAGTCAGTGAGCAAGTTTTAATGACTTGCTTTGGTGAGCCATAATATGGGAGCAGCCAAGAGGATGCCATACCTTAAAACCAAAGAATAGTAATTTCTGGTAAAGAACTGAAGGGGAAAAGCTTGATATAAGTGTTTATCCAAGTTAAAAATGAATAACAGAGTGAAAGACAGTTTTAGGTGTACCAATAAACCAGAGGGATGTCTCCTTAAAATGTCCACATGATGTCTAAACATGGGCAAACCTGTGTACAAATAAGTTTACAAATAACAAGTAGAGCAGAAAGGGAAAGGTTAGACAAATTACAGACAGTACCGTCTTTTATGAACCATGACAAAAGCTATTCCTGTGGCAATCTCAAACAGACGTAGAGTGGATGAAATGAATCACTGAAGAAACCCCACTAATGCCACAAATCTATGTCATCAGCCCGTGGCTTTGTCTCGTGAATCAGGTGAATGTGCAGCCTGGTATGTGCTGATTCAGTCTGATAATAGAACAGGACTGGTTTATAAATGTGTGTGTTTGTGTCATGTGTCTCCCTTCGTGTGTTTGAGTGAGTCTATGCAGTGTGTCAAATCTGTTTCACACTTAAGTAGACGATCCACAGTTTCCCTGTTGTATAATCACAAACAATCTCACAACGAAACCCGTATGCTTTGAGCTCTCTTTTTTCCTTATCTTATCTGAGCATATGTCTAAACAATGAGCCAAAATTATGCCACAACGTAATCAATTTTCTGTCTTCATCAAGTATGTCACATGGTAACAGGTGTATCCTGCCTTTGTTAGAGTGGGTTGATTCCTTTAGAGAAAAATACTTGGACAGGCAACAATGCTTTAAACTTCATCAAACCGATGATTTTCATCCACTTTTACAGATTGATGGAATTAGAATCTGGGGTTTTATTTAAAAGCCTATTTGGCCTTTTTACCCACACAGTTCCTATCATTAACTGCTGTTTCAGTATACAATTAAGTACCAATTCTGTGCTATTCCACTGACCAATCTCTAGCTTTGGTGCTAAAAGCTGTTGAGCAGCACCGTTCAGCACATTTGTGAGCCCAAATACTTAAAATCGTAGAATTTTGTTTCTGATAACTCTGATATATAACATATTGGATATTTCACTACTGTGGCCCTTCTAATGTTTTGAGATGGTGCTAACAAATCTTCCTCTTTAAGTTGTGTTTAACTCCAATCTTTCAGCTATTGGCATACACCTATTCTTACGGGGTCACACATAGGCCCACTTGGCAATATAGAAACCCAACAAGTAGCATGTCAAAGAACACATGAAAAAGAAATACATTCAATCTCCAAGCAGAAATATCCAAGCCTAGGACTGTTTTTGTTGCAAAGCAACAAGGCTAAAAAAAAAGTCCTACTGTGCAGTTTGTGACTTTTGTTTTGACATTTGCTGTTTTTTCCCTTGCCCCCACCACCCAGACACACATTTCTTTTCCCTTTTAATCTTTGTCTTTTATCTAAGTGATGCAGCCTGAACCCTTTTTTGCCCGAACCAAATTTAATATATTATCCCTGTGACTAATTAAAATCAGTTGAAGAGCAAATTTGTCCTGGCATTGCAGAACAACCAGTTCAACCATGCTGCCTTTGTAAGCTGTGTTAACAGAACATAAAAAAAATAATCAAAAAACTCTCTGCAAGACTTAAACCAGGTGTCCATCTGCCTACTAAAAGAAAATTACATTTTCTTTCTGATCACCCAAGGACTTGAAATGGCTTCCCTTATGGATTTAGAAACAAAGTGGTGGAGTGGTGTGGAGTGTAACATACATCTGACTGTAAAAGTAAATAATTAAGTTTAGGGTGGACTTAAAACGAAAGGTATAAACCTGAAGCATGGTTTCAAATGACAGAGAGAGAGCATTTTTTTCTCATGAAAATTAATGCAGCGCACATTCCATATAGTGTGGGTTTGTGAATTTTTGTGTGGGCATGTTAGTGAAAAATTTTGGACAGTGTGAATCTGAGTGTGGGCATGAAGGTAAGGTAAGGATCTGCTCATGTGCCTGGCAGTAGCATTGTTGGTGGGTCTGTGCATATATATATGTATATATATATATATATGGCTACTTTTAAATTATTGGCTTACCTTCTAGGCAGCAGGTCCTCCAGAGGCCTGAGTGCGTCATTACCTCCTCGTTCTTCTTGCTTGTCTCATTCTCATTGGTGCTCTTTATCTTGCAGACGCCACGCGAGTACAGCCAGTAGTCTGTCCCCACAGCAATAGTCATGAGGCTGAAGGCAGCAAAGGCCCCCACTGTGGTCAGCAGCATCTGAACTCCGCGGTCAAACACACCCATGTTGCCACATTCCACGAAAGGGGGCCCCCCTTTCCTTTTGATGTACAGGAAGTAAATATTTGTGAGTTTGCCTCGCCACGCCAGCTCGGAAAGCGGGGGGTAGGCTGCGTCAGGTGGACCACGGTAGCGGGGGGTTGCTGAGGGGGCGGGGGAATTCGGGGAGCTCGGGGGAAATCGTATGGTTGGTTTTTGGGGGGGACCAGCAATAAGACGAAAAAAATATGGAAGAAGGTTAATGGGTTTATGGGTGTTTGACCCAACAAAAAAGGTCAAAGACCTTGAAGCAATTACAGCAACAGCATTAGAGGTAAAGTTCTCTAAATTCTGAACTTCAGATGGCAGTAAGTTGCCCTACTCTGGAAATAAAAAAGGCTGACTTAAAAACACAAGTTTCCAATAGATTCCACAAGAGACCTGGTCTGGGATCTAGGCCTACTTTGTTGAGTTTGAAGGCCTCTAAATGTCAAACTCTAAAAAAGGGCCAAGATAGGGAGAAGATGGAGGAGTTTGGCTGTCTCACACTTGGCTTACTGAGCCGACTAAAGGACTCAGACATTGCAGTCCTCAGAGCTTTAATGTCAATGCATGGAATAATGTGGCACAAGAAGTCAGTTGCATTCAACCTACAACGGCATCTGCAGACTTTCTTACAGATTCAAACTTTTATGCACACACACCTGTACTTGTATAAGCACCCATGCACACAGGTTAATTTGGAAGGGATGGTTTTAAGGGATTAAGGAAGAGTGATTATGGAGTGTGGTTAAAACAAATACAGTAGGTGGCCTGCTTTTCTTTAAAGTAACCCCCTCCCACAGTAAGAAGCTAAAGCAGTGATTACCGATGGAGATTTTCACAATTTAGTGATGCGATGGGACTAATTTAATCTAGTAAAGGATAGGCAAACTATATAGATTTATCTCAAGCATGATTTGGAAAATCAACATATATATAAGGTAGAGAAGTTGACGGAAGGCAGGCAAAACAGACAGGCAGGGCCAGTGATATATGGCAAAAATTAGTACTAGATGCTTAAAAGAAATTCAAAGTAGCAAAATCTACATAATGCAAAATATCAGCTGGTTATAAGACTGCCATTGAACCAATTCCTGTGATGGAACATAAAAAAGAAGGAAGAGATGCCCCTCTCTGGAAAAAAAAGATAGATGAAGAAAAAGGAAAAAATGTGCAGTGGAGGAGGTGGTGGGGGGGGGGGGGGGGGGGAAACTAACAGCTGTTGTTCTTTTTTCTGAAATTACGATCCCCAGTTTCCATATGTGGTCCCTAGACCTCTCTCCGGCAACAGCGGAAAGCTGCTGTTAGGGGACCGGGGCAACGGCAGCGACGGTACACCGTGGATAAAGGGGCGCATCCAGGGGAAGAGGCCGAGCATCACCGGTCATGCAGCCGCTCGCGACTGGAGAAAAACACGGAGAGACAAACGAAGCTTTACCGGTGCCTCGGAGCCTCTTCCTCTTGCATTAAGAAGATCCCAGACGTTTATGTTACGGCCAGTTGGAGAACAGCGAGAGCAGACACACACGGACACTAACTGTCATCTCATAAAAATGATCAAACATGATAGAAAAGCGGGTTTTTTCTCTTTTGGAAGAGCTGGCGTGGCGCGACGCGTTTCTGTGCGCAAAAAGGCGAGATGAATATGGAGAAAGAGAGAGAGATGGAGAAAAATTCAACATCAATCCTTGGTTTCCTCGCTTTTTTTCTTCTTCTTCGCAGAGCTGAGAGAAGTAGAGAAAATATAGGAGGTGGAAGGGGAGGAGGAGAAGGGGGTGGATTATGTTTAGGAGCAGGGATGAAAAAAGCTACAGTGCCAGAGAGCGAGAGAAAAAACAAGCGGAGAGAGTGAGGAAGATGTTCTATGCACAGCAGCAGCAGCAACGCTGTACGCAAATAATGCGCCCCCTCTCCTCCTTAATAAAGAAACAAATAAAACACAGTCAATTCAGAGCTCTTCTGCTTTGTAAAAATTCCCATCTTGTCAGTTTACAACCTTAATTCTAATTTTACTTTATCCAAATTCTAATTGACAAATCAAAAGCAATACTGTAGCTGTAAGGAAAACGTTTTACTCTTAGAAAATAAAAAAAAAACTTACTAGGGTGGCACATGTGTTTTATCTTCCCAATACTCTGACACCCCTAAATGCAAATCAGTGTAACTGATTGCCTTTACATGTTTCCCAGACAGTAAACAGAAAGAACCTGTATGGAAATTCAATTTTAGGTGAACCCAACTGTTCTGTGAAGGTCTAAGTTAAGTGTCAGAAAACATCTGGGAGAAAACAGGATTATAAAGACTATGGTGTGGAATAATGTTGCAGTGAAGTTTAGAGCACAAAGGCTTTTAAAACAATGTTAAGGGCTCATTTTCAACATGAAACTTACCAAGATAGAGACCACAATAAGGCTGAGATTATTAATGGATTAATTGTGATTAATTGATTATTGAAATACTCTGCAACTAATTTAGGAATTGATTAATTAATAACTTGAGTATTGCGAACCAAAAATATACCTTTAGCTGACAGAGCAACCCACTTAGAGCCGTAATTATTACAAAAAAAAAAAAAAATCCACTTGAATTTCTCAAGTGGAAAAGTTTTAGTTTTATCTAATTCTGTTTAAAATATTCTTTAAGGAATCATTTTCTATCAGAGTTACCGGTAAGTGCTTAGTTGAGAAAATAATCTATAGATTAATTAGTTTGCACATAAGCATTAGTCGCAGCCCTAGTCCACATGCAGCTTAATTTCCCTAAACCCCTTTTGGTTATGTTTTTTTTTTTTTTTTTTGAAGGAGTTGCATGGATCTCCAGTGCAGGTGGAAATTCTCTAGACCAGACAACTACTATGTTTCAAATGTGGGCTTTATGGTAAATTGAAAAGTAGAAAATTACTAATTGCTAAGAGAAAACTACAGTTTCACCAATGGGATCCATAGAATCTGTGACAGGATTTGGTAGTTGCTGTCTCAGTTTGAACAATTTCATAAGAATTAAAAAAGGCAAATAGTATTAACTTAAAAATGGTTCATACTGAACAATGGTTCATTAAATTAGGCTTTAGTGCAGAATGGTTTAAATGTGCATAACATTTAGTGCAAAATATATGCCAGGCCTATAGAAAGCAGATGAATGTTATCTGAGTGGGAGTCCATTGACAAAAAAGAAGCCAAAAACAAACAATCCAGCCTTTACATCTTTGAAGATTGAGATCAAATAATTCTGTTATCAGACACATACTGGACCCAAAATGAAAAAAATGAGGCAAGTGAACAGAAAGTCTGTTATTTTTGCGGTACAAAAAATATGGATAAAAGTGTAAGAATTTCTTTAAATGCGCAGGACTTCTTTTTTTCTTGTTTCAAAATGCAATGTCTAAAGAAATACAGGGCAGTTGATATTTCCTGAAAAAAAAAAAATCTTTCTCTATGTTGTATGCAAAAAAAGTCAAAAGAGGAGAAAAGCCAGAAAGTTTAAAAGAAAACAGTGAGGTCAGTTCCTATAATATTTTCCAGGCATGATACACTACATTAATTACTTTTACTGAATTGCTAAGTACACCTTCACTGACCCAATTATTAACTGTTGTACATGAAAGGTAATCCCTGACAACTCAAGTTTATGAACTGGGAGATGTATAAAATATGTGCTCTTTGCTCAGGTCTCTTCCATCAAAGCTTGCAGCTCTTCTTTTACTGCTATCTGTGTGACCCTTAACATCTTATCTCCGATTAGAAGACATTTTTCTGACAGGGATCAATAAGGTGTCACCTTGTTATCCGAAGTCTGTTATGGTTTTCTTGCAGGCTGCTGTGTATTTTAATTTCCTAGGGAAGGGGAGAAGGAGATACAATTGATGAAAGGGGTTAGCAGTGATTGTAAAACACCTGACTGAGCAGTTAAAGGCATGGATGGCTACAACAGAGGTAGATGTATTAGGCTGTAAAATTCACTGATCCATGCTCTATATGACATGGTCTTATGTTTCAAAACCACATGCCATCTGGAAAGAAAATGTACCTTATGCTGTCACAACTACAAGGATTTATAATAGTTCCTTTTGTGGCAAGAGTCTGAATCCTTCATATTACTTATTTTCATATCTTTTTTTTATCTTTACAAATACAAATTTATATATATATATATATATATATATATATATATATATATATATATAGATATATATATAGATATATATATATATACAGAGAGAGAGAGAGAGAGATAAATTTATATATACTGGTCTGTATATATATTTATATGCTGCTCTCTCTCTGGGTTAGCAGTCTGGCCACTGTCTCCCTCTCGTTATAGGCTGATCTGTTACCATATAGTCATAGTATGTTAGTGTTGCTAGTCTATGGAAAAGTAGCGTGGGAAAGCAGTGATACGATGATGGACAGCCCTTTACCTCGACCGTTCCTCAAAAAAAAAAATTGTTTAAAATATTTGTGTAATGACTTAATTCATTTTACTGACAGTTAATTTCTAAATTTTCTGGCCCTCCAAAAAGCAGAGCAAAGAAAAGCCTAATAAAAACAAAACATATTAAACCAGTAATAAAAATTGAATAGACCTATTCAAATTATCCCTTCGATTGAAAAAAATAATAAGAAGATAGAGGTACAAATAGCAGTTTTCATAAAATTTGTTCCTAAATGTGTCAGGACTCAGAACGTTGGACTCAGAATTCAGACAGACAGAGTTAAGTGATTTATAAAAAGAGTTTATTGGCTGCTCGGAGAGCTGTGTCTTGTTGGCTAGAACTAGATAGATGGAAATTGTGTAGAGGGAGAAACAAAGGTTAGTGACCATGTGACTCTGACGGGGAGTGATAGCAAGCATGTGAGTCACTAACCTGGTTATTAAGTTCATTCCGAACCCAGAGTTAGGGATGAAATCCATCCAGATGATTTTCCACAGCATGCAGCGGAAGCAGCCCAGAGAGTTCCAGGAGTAGAAGCCAAATGTGCTGCATAGCCAGCTGAAGGCCAGAAGCCAGCTGACAAGGAAGAGCAGAAGTATCCAGGAGGAAAATCAAAAGCCGGTGTCGATGAGGAAACAGAAGTCAAGCCAGAAGATTAGAGATCCGAAGAGGTACCGTATGGAAATCCTAGCCGGGGTCAGGATACAGATCCATGGTCGTTTGCAGGCAGAATCCAATCGAAGTCTGAAGACAGTTAAGGCAAACAGATCAGAACAGGGACAGGCAAACTCAGAAGTCCAGGAGCAGAAACTAGTCAAGATCAGGCAATCAGAATAAACACACTGGGTACCCTATAACTATCACCTACGGCTCAAATAATCTGGGACTA